CTTAGGAATAAACCTAGAGAGAAATGTGCAAAACCTCTAAGAGAGAAACTTTAAAACATTCCTTGAAATATACAGAAGTAGGCTTGAACAGATGGGAAGACAGCCCTTTTTCTTGCCTAAGGCAGTTCAACATTATAAGATGTCATTTCTCCCAAAATTAATTTATAAGGTTAATGCAACACCAAAAAAAATACCAACAAGCTTATTTCTATGGAGTTAGACAAGCTGATAATAAAGATCACATGGAAAAGTAACCATGTAAGAATGTAATGTAATGGCAGTCTTTTTCTTTAGGATAACTGGGATGATGATGATGATGAAAAAAAAGAGGAAGCAGAAGTAAAACCAGGTGAGCCACTGGAGTTCCTCCACTTTTGGTTTTATATCTTAGTGAACATCTGCTTGCTTATGTTAAGACAAATAACAAAATGCTTACAAAATTGAAAATTTCAGTATTTTCAGTAACCAAATATCCTTCCATTCCCACTTCATTCTCTTCTCCCTTCATCTCTTCTCTCTCCTCAAAACATAATCAGATTACATAGCTCGCACTTTTCTGTTTGAGTGCTTTTGTTAGAGGAGGGAGTAGAGGATGTGGCATCACTGTTAAAATGATCTAAGTCCTGCCTAAAGGACTGTGGGGGAAATATGAAGGGAGTTGTTTGAGTCTTAGGAGTCAGATTAGAGAAGAGAAAGGAAGAATCCTAGAACTTTCCTCTTATTTGCCAGGAAATCATCATATGAAATTGGAGCTGGGAGAGATTTGGTCTCTTGAAGTATAAGTATCAGGTCTGTCTGATCCATAAATTGGAGAATAGTCAAGATAACTGTGATTAAAACATTTCTTTCAGAAGTAAAAATTTCAGAAAAGAAAAAAATAGCAGAGAAGATAAAAGAGAAAGAACGGCAACAGAAGAAAAGGCAAGAAGAAATTAAAAAAAGGGTAAGTACTATTCATTTTCTAAAATTCGGACTCCTCACGTTAGCAGTGGTGCAGTATCTTAGCAGGCAGCAGATAATACCTAACCATTTGAAGGGCTTTGTAAAGACTGTAAATGGACACCATCAGATAAGGTGATCCCAAAACAAACAATTTGTGGTTTTTGCAGAAACCAGACTTAAAAGCTTTATGTATTAGAATGTCTTCTAAGTTTCCACAAACACTTGGGAACAATCATGATTGTGTTGTGACCCTAGTCAGTGATTTTTGGCAGTGCCTGCAGCTCTCTCTAGTTGTGATTTGTAGTGTACCTACTGAGTGACATACAAGATGTGTCCATTTCTCTGCCATGTATTATATAAATGTTTTTGTTATTGATTTAGAGCAAGATCAGAAATATTGTGTTAATTTACTTGTTTTTGAATAGAAAACACATTTACATGATTTGAAAATCAAAACAATATTAAGAAGTACTCCCAACTCTACTAATTTGTCTTGTTTCTCTCCCTCTATCCCATTAGTAAATACTGGCTTCTTATGTCTCTGAGGTGACTTTATATATTTAGATACAACTGTATAGTCATATTCCTCCCTTTTTTAAAAATAATTTTTACCTTGCTTTATTTATCATAGAGATCTTTCCATAGATCATAGAGAGCTTTTTAATTTTTCTTGACTTTTCATTAAGAAAAATTTCAAGCCTAAAGGAGAAAATAGCATAATAGATACAATCATGCACATCACCTAAATTTAACAGTTGTTAATATTTTGCCATACTTGATTCATATGTTCTTTTTTGGCTAAAATATAATTAAGTAAATAACAAATGTTATGCATTTTACCTTTAAACTTTAGTATGCATCTCTGAAAAAGCAAGGATATTTCTCACATGATTACATACCTAATGTAATGAACAATAATTTTTTAAGATCCTCTAATACTCAGTTTGTATGCACTTCTTTAATTGTCCCAAAGTGTGTGTTACATATGGTTTGTTCAGACAAGGACCTCACACTGCACTTGGTTATTAATGTATCCTAGAGTGTTTCTCTCTATAAAATGACGTTGATTTATTGAAGAGAGTAGGGCAGTTGTCTTGTAAGAACATCCCACCTTCTGGATTTGTCTTATTGCTTCCTTATAGTTGGAATTTCCTGTACCTTGGCAGCAAAGTCTAAAATTTTGATTGAATTCAAATTAAATATTTTTGGTTGGAATACTTTAGAGGTAATGCTACATGCTTCGTATTGCATCATGTCACATCAGGAGTCATGTAATGTCTGTCCTATTGTTAGTGATGCTAAAATTGATCACAGGGTTAAGTTGGTGACAGCCTGGTACTTCTGTTGTAAAATAACATGTTTCTCCATACAGGTTATGCAGTTTCATGTCAACTTCTCACCCAGTAGTTTTAGTATCACTGATGATCATTGCCTAATTCTTTCTTTAGGGATTGCAGAATGGTGATTTTTCTCATTCTATCACTTCCTTTTAAAAAATTTTTTATTGGCTGGTGCTGCTGCTGCTGCTGCTGCTGCTGCTGCTGCTGCTGCTGCTGCTGCTGCTGCTTTTGCTGTTTGGTTACTTTGGATATGGTCAGTACTAGAAAGGCAGAGTAAAAGCTTCATTCTTTTAGTTACCAATTTTCAGAGTAAGGAGGGGGTGTAATAACTTCAAGTGGTGAAAAATGAGGGGTTTTGCTAG